AAAAAAAAAAAAAAAAAAAAAAAAAAAAAAAAAAAGGAGAGAGAACATCGAGTTGTCTGTATGGTTTCAAACAAATTTTTTGAGAAAGCTTGTTATTAAGAATGTTAGAACATGAACTATCTGTGCTGTGCCCATTACGGTTATCGAAACCCGGATTTTAGTCATAAGTCTTAAGACTTACCGCTGAGCCACTGGGGGCTTGAGAAAATTATACTCTTAAGTAAATCACGTAAAAAAAAAAATCCTTTTAAAAACCACCAGATGGCCAGGTTTTTGTTTTATTTACAAGTTACCTGGCAGTTGATTATCGATTAGCGTTCAATCACGGGTTATTCAACGAAACCAAATGTTTGTCTTGTAGCATAATTCTTGGGCACACACTAATTCGGCCCAGCATGGCCAGGTAGTTAGGGTGCTCGACTCGCAATCTGAGGGTCGCGGGTTCGAATCCCCGTCACACCAAACATGCTCGCTCTTTCAGCCGCGGGGGCGTTATAATGTGACGGTCAATCCCACTATTCGTTGGTAAAAGAGTAGCCCAAGAGTTGGCGGTGGGTGGTGATGACTAGCTGCCTTCCCTCTAGTCTTACACTGCCAAATTAGGGACGGCTAGCGCAGATAGCTCTCGTGTAGCTTTGCGCGAAATTCAAAACAAACAAAAAAAAACACTAATTCTTTTTTATTCTTTAAAAAAATATTCAATGAGAGTAATGGCATTACGTAGTCTCCCACGTGATAAATGATTAACTTTGATTGGCCTCGTTAATTGAGAAGAATATAGAACAGAACATGAGAACGAGAGTAACTGTGTAAAAGAGGAATAATAAATACAAAAATTGGGAATTAATATCAAGTATAAGTGTTGGTACTGGCATGATGAATAGAATTATTTAAAATGGGACAATGAGACTCAGTTCCTGCTTTTATTCGATTAATTAAATTAAATGTATAAAACTTAATTCCTTTAGATTACTTAAAAATTGATTTTTAACGTAAAGAACGAAGCAGCGCCATCTACAAGTTAGTGTTAACACTAAAATCGTATTTTGTTTCAATTATGAACATCCATCAGAAACCTGAAATTGGTTTAGACAGGTTCTGACTAGTATACGTGTTATTGTTACTGTTGTATAGTCCCCATGTACTTAATATATATTTATTTCAAGAGGGAAAATACAAATAATTGTGTATTCTTATAACGTTTTGAAATTTACGTTTTTTGAAAAATTAAGATTCAAACTTGGTTCATTTAGAAACGAAAAATCACAATAAATAAACATAAAATATAACAGTGACAATTGAAATAGCCATAAAATATGCATGATTATAGGTGGAGCTTTTATTTTTTTTCAATCAATATTCGTTTTCAACTGTTCAATGTAGATAACTTAACCTGTTTTTTCGAAGTCTTCATTTTTAATACTAAAATGAGCATATTAATATATCATGTTTGTCTCTGCACACTAGTTTCTTTTAATCGAGTAATAACGAGTACAAAACGTACTTCTATTTATGGTAAATCTCTGTAAGAGCAGCTAATATTTTATATGAAATTATAAAACAAACTCGTCACTTAGGACGAAGCGTGTGCCTTCTCCTTCTGAGTGAATATCCAAGTCGGTGTAGTAATAAAAAGTAGTTAAAGTTTGTATGTCTAGTGAACCTTTAGAAAATCAAAGCCCTAATTAAAGTTGTTGAAATAAAAGTTATTTGAAATGCCAAAAGTAGTAGCAGTATCTCTTAAACACCGGCATTGTGATTAGGGTGGAATTAATAAACACCGGCATTGTGATTAGGGTGGAATTGATAAACACCGTTATTAGGGTGGAATTGATAAACACCGGCATTGTGATTAGGGTGGAATTGATAAACACCGTTATTAGGGTGGAATTGATAAACACCGTTATTAGGGTACCCTAATCACCATGGCGGTGTTTATCAATTCCAGGAATTGATAAACACCGCCATGGTGATTAGGGAGGAATTGATAAACACCGCCATGGTGATTAGGGAGGAATTGATAAACACCGGCATGGTGATTAGGGTGGAATTGATAAACACCGGCATGGTGATTAGGGTGGAATTAATTAATATTAAAGCGGGTATATATTCGAGTTTTGTCGTATATTTCAATCATTTCAAAGTGTTTTCATTCAGTTCAAAAACGTTTAATATCTTTTCAGTGATCCATTCCGTCGGGCACTTAATTAATTTCTACCAGTTGTCTACACAGCCGCTAGGACATCTCCGTTGTTTATCGAAGGAATTACAGTTTGCGTAAGTTTAAAAATATGTAATCATTGTCATTGTTGGGTTATTTACGTCCGCTGGACGTAAATTATGTAAATTCATGATTAATGAAAGGTTATCTTAGTACATAAAGATGCTTTCTTTATATGTAATTGTAAAAAATGTAAAAACTCCCATAAAAACTTCCAAACAAAATGTGACCCAACAAACCCTCCTTCTAAATTTGGTGAAGATCCATCAACAGGGGGCGAAGTATTGGTAAAAAACGCCCATAAAAACCGCAGAACTCAAAATTCAAAACTGAAAATTTGTATGTATCTCCCTATGAACCCAATGAACCTCCAAACCAAGTTTGGTGAAGATCCATCTCGAGGAGGGGGTGGCGATGAAGTAATAGTGAAAAACGCCCATACAGTTCACGGACATACAACAGAGAATACTATTATGCATGTGTGTGCGTGTGTGTATACACAAAAAACACACACACACACACACACACACACACACACACACACACACACACATATACATAGATACATACATAC